ATCTTCAGTTTTCTTTAACCATTTCACGGACATCTCTTTGTGCTTCAGCAAATGAAGAGGGCAGAAACTTCTCATGCATTACTGTCTGCTGAGGAACCCAAACCGCAGGAAATGGAGCCTAAAGCCAAACACCGAGCTTGCTCCAGAAGATAGTGCAGCAACCACCACACACCTAGGAGCAAATTCAAGAGTTGTATTAACCAAAGTGGAAGTCTCTAGCACCTTGTAGGCTTTAATCATGCAAACTAACTACTTTATCAAGCAGTCAGTAGTGCAAATCAGGTATGAGGGTCATGGGAAGGTCTCCTGCCCCTCTGCTCTGCCCTGGGGAGACCACCCCTGGAACCCTGTGTCCAGTTTCGGGCTCCCCAGTTCCAGAGGGACCGACTGGAGAGAGTCCAAGGGAGAGCTACAAGGGGGATCAAGGGACTGAACATCTCTGCTGGGAAGAGAGATAAAGAGACCTGGGGCTGTTCATCCTGGAAAGGAGACGGCTGAGAGGGGATTTATTGACGTAGAGAAATATCTGAGGGGTGGGGGTCAAGGGGAAGGGGACAATCTCTGCTCAGTGGTGCCCAGCAACAGAACAAGGAATAATGGGTGTAAGTTGGAACATGAGAAGTTCCACCTCAACGTGAGGAGAAACTTGTTGGCTGTGCGGGTGCCGGAGCCCTGGCCCAGGCTGCCCAGAGAGGGTGCGGAGTCTCCTGCTCTGGAGACTTTCCAACCCGCCTGGACGCGTTCCTGTGGGGCTGCCCTGGGTGACCCTGCTCTGGCAGGGGGTGGCACTGGGGGGGCTCTGGAGGTTCCTTCCAGCCCCAACATTCTGTGATTCTGTGATACATGTCTCGGAATCAGAGCCCTATGTCACAGGCTGGACGTAGTGAGCCTTGAGATTCAGATTTAGAGGTCCTAGATTAAATGCCCTTTGTCAACACACATTCTAGGCCGGTCAGACCGTCCCTACAGGACCGGAATTTACTCATTGGGCTTTTTCTAAGCACTCACGCATTCTTGTGAAAACCTCTTTTTGCCATGTTGCTCAGAATTTGAGCTCTCTCTTTAGCTGGATTTGAATAAAATCTCTACGTATGCTAACTTTTGTTAGGAGCTGCTGTCCTGAAAACACAAAAATAGCAAAAGCTGCAAATTCAAACTTAATAAAACACCAACACTACTGAATCCCCCACCAGCAGGCCACCTAGCAAGAATGTCTGTAAATGCTAGTGCCAAGAATTTTAGCCTGATGTCTTCCATGAAATAATTCAGCTTCACATAACCAGGTCTGGGATCTGGATGTCCAGAACAAAATGTCCGTGAATTTGCAGAAAAATGTTTCGTACTCTCCTCTGTCTGCTTAGTTTACCCTCAATTTCAGGGAAGCAGGCTAACTGGTTTATCCTATACTCCGTCTCCTTCAATTCCTAGAATCACAGAATCGTTTTGGTTGGAAAAGACCCTTAAGATCACTGAGTCCAACCGTTAACCCAGCAATGCCAGGTCCAGCACCATATGTACTGGATCCAGCAAGAAAGCTTTAAGGTGTATGGGAAAGAAGTCATGTTATATGTTAAGCAGCTGCCTGTTAATTATGCTACTGCCTCAAAGCATCAGAAAATCCTGCACAATTAATGACTTTCACAAGCTCTGGGAAGAGGAGAGACCCACAGATGATCTGCAACAGTCTCTCACAGCTTACCTTAAAAGAAAGCAATTTTAGAAATGCTCTGACTGATTGCTGGGGCAGACGACAAGGGCAAGTCTCTCAAGCTGTAACCATTAGATCGTAGAATCACAGAATTACAGAATCACAGAACGTGAAGTCCAGACTCCGCACCCTCTCTGGGCAGCCTGGGCCAGGGCTCCGGCACCCGCACAGCCAACAAGTTTCTCCTCATGTTGAGGTGGAACTTGCCATGTTCTAACAGAGAAGCACTGCCTTTAAAGAGCGAAGGTAGGCTGAGTGTGGAAACGACAAAATGTCCTTGCACCAAAACCATCCAACTTGCTACTTAGCAAGTGTGCCATAACAACCAAAAAAGTCCTACTTTGAAAAGTCAGTCAGAAATCACAGAAAAGTGGCTTCAGAAGGACTCTCCAGAAGTCAACGAGTGCATCTACCGTGCCTTAAGGCTTGGTCATCACACCCATAACGTTTCCAAGAGACGATCACTCTATCTTCAATATATTATTCTCTTGAACTAGTCTATGTCTTGAAGAACTGCATCCAAAACGTAATAAACCTATCTCTTAGGCAAAGACCATACTGGGCGTTAACACGGCACTGCAAACAGCACAATGTGAAACGGAGTTCCCCGTCCACCTCCGCAGAACAGCCACACCAAAGCTCAAAGCAAGAAGAAGGCACCACCAACCTGCGCAAGGACACGTCATCTTGTCAAGAGAAGGAAAGGAGATTTGTGTGACATGGAGCATTCTTGGCAAATCCATGGTCGGGTATCAGCTAAGCACTGACAAACTGCTTATTTGTCCATTTTTCCTGTTGAAACTGAAGCTGACCAGCCTCTACCTAATGACATTTTCTTCCTCGTTTTCTCCAGAAGAAACTGCTAAAAGGCCAAAATCACACCTATAAAAACTCTTCTGGGCTGAAAGCAAATCTCTAGCAACTTTTAGAGTGCAACTAGTCTAAACTTCATCGGATTTCAAGATCTGGAAAACACTCACAAACTTACTCAAGTGCTCTAACTGAACCTAATCGAAGCACAAATTCTTACTCTTCTGTGAGTTGTAGTCACTACAACAGCCACCTGGTCACAAAAAACCTAGTAGCGAAAAGATAAATGAAAGGGCACTAAATGGTTTGGGTGGTTTTTTCCTACTCTCATCCACTTTCTCTCCCCAGAAAATACCCATGAACAAAGAACACCTGGAGCTCAAACCCAGAGCCTGCAGTGCCTACACCCAGTGTCGCGATCACTCCTTCACAGACCCACCTATGAAATATCCCAGAAGCGCCACGTGAAATTAAGCGCTCATAAAAGCAAATTAAATTTGAATGGCTTATTCCACAAATATAGATGATGCTTGACGTTTTTTTGCTTTATTCACTATGTTAGAAAGCTATCTAGGCAAACCTGCCCTTAATTCAACAACACCCTTGTGCAATACTGGATTTTGCCACTTTTACCCAGAAAGAGCAGCTCTATGGAAGTGGATTTTGATAGACCACAGTGGGAATGAAATGGATAATTATCAAAGGGTACATGTATCTTCATAATGCGTTTTCATAATGCATTTTCACAGACCATTTATTTATGTCACTTTGTTGCACTGAATCCATATCCAAATCAAACAGGCTAATGATCAGAAATACCTGCCACGAGCTAAAACTGATAGAGGTGTTTCGCATAAAGCTGCAAAAAGCACCTACGGAAAGGCAAAACCAAGGCAGGATACCGAACACACACCGAAACGGTGTCCTCTGCTGTTACACTTGCTGGATTTGGTGTATGTTTAAGAAATGCCACACTTGTGCTGTGCAGAGAGCGTTGCTGCAGAGATCTGCCTTTCAAAATCACGCAAAATAAACCACGCCTGCATCCCTCCCTTCCAAACACAAACGAGGATTTGGTCAGCAGAAGCACTGCAGCTTCACCACCAACTCCAATGACTGTGAAAAAGCTCTCCCTTTAGCCTGTGCCAACAATGCTTTCTCTCCCCGCTGTTCTAATCCAGTTTTCGTAAAAAATCATAATTTCGCATTTCCTGTCAGAGAGAAGCAATACGCTACCAGAAATCCCCAGTTCAGTTTTACAAAGCAGGAGAGTCTGGAATCTTGTGTCCAGTTCTGGCCCCTCAGCTCCAGAGGGACAGGGAACTGCTGGAGAGAGCCCAGCACAGCCCCAGGGATGATGGAGGGATGGAACATCTCCCTGGGGAGGAAAGGCTGAAGGAGCTGGGGCTCTGCAGCTGGAGAAGAGGAGCCTGAGGGGTGACCTCACTCCTGGTTAGAAATATGGAAAGGGGGAGTGTCAGGAGGATGGAGCCAGGCTCTGCTCAGGGATGGCCAGGGACAGGACGAGGGGCAGCGGGGAAAAGCTGGAGCACAGGAGGCTCCACAAAAACAGGAGGAGAAACCTGTTCCCAGTGAGGGTGCCGGAGCCCTGGCCCAGGCTGCCCAGAGAGGGTGCGGAGTCTCCTGCTCTGGAGACTTTCCAACCCGCCTGGAGGCGTGCCTGTGGGACTGCCCTGGGTGACCCTGCTCTGGCAGGGGGTGGCACTGGGTGAGCTCTAGAGGTCCCTTCCAACCCAACATTCTGTGATTCTGTGTGAAAAAGCACATATTATGGCATGAAATATATCACCACAACTAATAGTTAAGCTACCTTAAAAAAAAGCCAAAAGGCAAGGCACTGCATCCAGGTGCAAGAGGTCAACCCAGTACTGGTACTTCCTGGAAAGCACCATTCATCTCTCTCTCTCATCTACCACATTATAAAACATCCAATTTAACATCATATTTCCTCTACTGAAACTTAGATCTAAAGTTAATCTTCAGAATTAATTAATTCCGCATTGATGAGCTGCTCTCAGGATGCACACAG